AAGTAATTAGTCAATCAGATACACAACCGAATTATTTTCAATCTATGCTAGTTGGCAATGAGCATGCATATTGCATCAAAAACTTGTCATTTTCGTTGCAACACACTTGTAGTTTATTTACTATACAGGAAGAGGTCTGAGGCCCGTAATTAAAGAAGTTTGTTTACTGTAAAATAAATGTAAATAAAAATATTTGACAACGTTACATACTGATCCCAAAGTAGCTAAAGCACTTGTGCTATGGAAATCGGAAACCAGACCCGAGACAATATAGAAAAATTAGTTTTCCACATTGACCCGGCCGGTCATCGAACCTGGAACCTCAAGAGATGGCGACTCCATGAAAATGCAAGCAGAGCATTGAGGTTTTCATCATAATAAAACCTAATGGTTCGCATTTAAAATTGGTTTTTCTACAGAAGCTCTTGTATATTGTTTGTCACTTTTGACGTCCATTGTTGGACTGAGAGACCATGAGTTGATTATCTCGGTCGTTGTGGACGACTTTACCAAATTGATGTAATAAAAAGAGCCATTGGACTTTGCCATGCCTTAAAAAAAACAAGAACATTTGCATAATAATATTTTTGAGTATTTATTTATATATTTTTTTTGTGTATACAAAGAGAGTCGTAGATCAATCGAATCTTATCAATATTTTAACTATTACACCTATATTATAAGACTCATTGTCGCTTAACATCAGATAATATTATAGCCAAACGTTCGTCTATTTTACTTTTTTTAATCCATCAAACCTCTTCCTATAATAAGTGACTTTGTCCTAGAAAACAGATGTCATCTTGGTTCAATAAATAGAAATATATTAAGTACAACAACGTGTAGTACTATGCGCCCGACTGTGATAATGACAAACTTTGTATGAAGTCATTCTACGACACACAACGATTTCTTTTACATGCATCTTTTATAATATATATAATTCGTGTTATATCTATCATTAACCTAGACTTAACAATTAATACGATTGCAACACTTAAAGTTTCGCAACGTGTCATTTCGAGAGATCTGTTATGTAGTTTCTTTTTTATTTCAATTTTGAAGTGTTATTTTTGTTATTTTCGTTACAATTCTTGATATGTCATGTAGTTTTTCTCGATGATTTTTTTTAAATTCTTATGTCATGGTGATAGATCGCACCCTTGGCATAATAAAGCGACATACTTTTATCACATGAAGGTCATAAAATAACACAAAACACATCAATTAAATTTAAGCATAATAAAGTTATCAACTTTAGTTAAATCTCCCGAAGAGTTATCATTTTGAAGATATGGACTTATTACACCAAAGGCGCGAGATTACAAGCAATTCCTAAATTTTATCTTAAAGTAATCTAAAACAATGAATGATATTGACTAATAGTTAAAAGTTTAACCATTATCATTCCAAATAATAAGGTTTTTAGATAAATGAAAACTGAAAGCTGAGATTCTGCTCCACTTGCAGGTCAGTCCATGCCCTATGATGCCTGATTTTTAACATTACTAGCATTTGTGAACCGATTTTGATGAATCTTTTTTTGTTGGAAAGAGGGTACCCCAGTATTGGTCCAATATAAATTTGAAGGAAATATTCCACCTCTAAAGGTGTCAAATTAGGGGATGAAATCGTTTTCGCGCACTTTCCGGTAACCAATTTCAATAAAACTTGGCAAATTAATGTAACTCCACGAACTTTTGACGTCCGTTTTTTTTATAAAAGGTTATGATCTAACCGACAATTTGGTTCTGGTTAGATAAGCGTGAAAAAAAGTGTTAAACAAATTAAATTTTTTATTGAATTAATATCCAATTACTTTTTGTGTAATTACTACACTAGTTTGTTATAATTATTAATACAAAGATGTGAAAATCTATGAAAGTATTTTGTTAAACTACTCTCATTAACCAGTGTGCCGTAAAATACATTTTGGCATGACGTTCTTATTGCACGATATTTAAAGAAACTTTTTATTGATCTTTTACATAATACTTACTTAAATACAGATAACCATAAATGTTTAAGAAGGTTCTCAGAACCAATCGGCTCGGGGGTCAGGTTCCTTAGGCCATCGACTGTACACAGACCTCTTGTGGATAGTCTTAAAATATTGAATCATCTGTGTTAATCATTAAGTTACCTAAAGCTCCTTAAAAATAACACTTCAAAATGTTAAGTTTTTTTTTAAATTTTGGCAGGATTAATTAGCATTAGATTAGTAAAGACATATTGCTATTTGAAATTAACATGAGCGCAGACTAAAAAGGCGTGGTTTCCTTATACATAATTCGGAGTTGATGTTTACTGGTGCAATTTTTAAAACCAATTAAATTATAATTGGACCTGGAACTACGCTCTTTTAAACATTAATAACAAAAGTATTTCTTCATCAAATTATTGGGTAAAAAAATAAATAAAAGACCTACGAAGTTTTCATGCAGGTATTGAAAACCATTTGACACTTTATTGGCGAAGCGATGGTTGCTTACATATTATTCAGCATAATTAGCAATTATTCTAACAAATTTGCTTTTTTATTGCTTTGCCTTCCGCCAAATACTGGGTTATTTGTAAACACTAACAACCTCGCATTATTACATTACTAACATCATAAAAAACAACTTCTCTCCCAATGACTTTTAAAATTATGCAGTAGCAAATTAAATATTAGACAACACCAGATACATATATGTGATAGTGAATATCTCGTATGCGATTTGTAGTTAGCATTTTTATTGGTTAAATTATACCTCTTTCACATACTATATTAATTTATATTTCGATACTTCCTCTGTAAGTTGTTGTACGTCAAAACACCATCTTTTGCTTTTTAACTTAAATATTTTATGTATATTATAGATTCCATATTTAAAAGTAAAGAAATCACTTAGCGTTGTATTTACTTTGAAACTTGGAACCTATGATACCCATAAAAAAAGGATATGTTATTAAAATTAAAAAGCAAAAAAAAAAAATGGTATCTTGACTTAAAACAATTTACGTGGGAGGTATCGATTTGAGCAACGAATTTATACGTTTTTATTCAACAAAAATCAGTAAAAACGAACTATGTGAATAACGCGTATGCGGTGTGGTCACTCTAAGGCGACGATACGTTGCTCTAATTCCAAAGTAAAGCACTTCTGTCATGGAAAGAACGACGGTACCACAAACACCTAGACCCGAGACAATATAGAAGTTATTTTTTCTACATTGCTCGGTCGGGGATTGAAACCGAGACCAAGTCACTCGACCACGCGGAGAAATAGTGCAGGGGAGGACCCTTGCACGTTGGCTGTGTCTATACAATGTCAGATAGTACAACAAAAACTTAACACATGATAAACCCTCTATGATGTGTTCAAAAATCGCAAATCACGACCAGCATAACGATAAACTGTTTTGTTAGAACAAATTTCTCATAATTCATAATAACATCAAATTCGATTTTATTATTACATTCAAATTTCGAACATCTCTGAAAAACAAAACAATTTGATTCGATCTCAATTCTAATATCAGTCGAGAAGAAGTTTTATTCGAAATTAAATGTCAATAGCAAACAATTTTGACAAATCTCTCTCTCACGTTACTTGATATCGAACGATATGATAGTTGAGGCCGACTCTAGTTTGTATATGAATTTAAAAAAAAACTACGGTCGCGTGGCATGCGTGAGAAATAAGTGTTTTTGCATTATTTTACTAATAATTACTGCTAAAAGCTCTGTTCAGTGCCGGTCGTAACATACTGTTCCTGAGTACATCATAGATAGCTTATAATACGTATATAGATAAAGCAGTGTATGTAACTGTACTTAATTAGGCATTAAAACACTCGTGAGATGTTTTATGATGTTCTTTAATCCACACTCGTATTTTAATGACTTTCTTTATGTAATAGTCACATAAACCTCTATTTTGGTTAATTTATTGTCTTGTAAATGGAATAAAAGTTGTTAATAGTGATGTTAGTCCTTTGAGGTTGTAAAAACAAATAACCCTGTATAAATTGTAAGTTAAAAAGATGTTACACAGATAGAAAAACGTTTACATAGATGCCTAGATAAATGAGTCTGATGATGGTGAAATACATAGAAGATAAATACTTTCTTAAACTTTTACGGTGTGCAATAACTACAACCAGAGATGGGCAGCGGGTAAAAACCCTATCAACCCGCCCGGGTTTTAACCCATTTCGAAAAGTGGCAACTCCGCACAATACCCACCTTGCAATTCTGTGGATTCTCACAGCTAAGGATGCATATTACGATTCGATGTTTATGAAGATCGATTTAAGTGCATACGATCTATCAAATTTTTTGTATCCATTCATTTCAATGCGAGTATCGTTTAGATCAGAAAACAATGAACCGGTCATTCTCGGATTAGTGTTCACTATCTAATTTCCGTGGCAATTTTTATTGTTTAAGTATTCGATTTTTTATCGTGCAATATTAGATTATTGTATCGTGAAATATGATTTAATAATTACACGATAATATACTTGAATAATTAAATAATAAAAATTGCCACGGAAATTAGATAGTGAACAGTAGTCCGAGAATGACCGAAACATTATCGTTCAATTTGAAGAAAACTCGATTAAGAATAAATATTTAATGGGTTTTAACCCGATTTGAATCCGGGTTAAAACCCGGGCGCCCATCTCTGGCTACAACTTAAAATGCGTTTATACTATAAACATATCACTTTAGAAAAATTATATATTACAAAATTAGGCGATTTCAATTGTGTAGTGCGACAATTTACATCTTTATTGCATTTTTTTGTAGATGTATTTATTATTAAAACGTACGGGGCAATTATTACATATTATTATCTCCAAAAACAATGTACATTATACACACGACTTTAGCAAAAAGTATTTTAAAAACAGACGATACAACAATGCATGTGAAATTGATTGCGTTTAAAGAATAATTGTAAAAGCAATTAACAAAAAGCAATTGTACTAAGTACAGTGCATGGCCCAAACATCTTTCTTACATTTAAATTGTCAATCGCTTCTTTGTAACGAATAGGGCAGACTCAAAAGTCCAATTAGCTAACGGATTGAACAATGATTATCTACTATTGGATGAGGTGATTGACCCCCCATTAATACGAATAAAACAAGGACAGGCGGAGAAAATTTCAAACGGATCCGACGTCGACAAGCGCCCGACGGCGACTGACGGGGCAGCGTACGGTACGTCGGATCAATTTGCAAATTTTGGGATAAATTTGAATCTAATAACTACAGAGCGTCAGTTGAAAACATTTGCAGGTTCTCTGTAGTACTTAAAGAGAAATATCTCCATATAAAAATTATGTACAAGTTAGACATTTTATTCTTAAAGACTGTTTTCGGGATTTTATTATGATTGGATAATAGTGATAAAGTACATTTTTTAGACAATATCCTAAGTGTCTTTATATTTTTTGTAAGATTTGATATAGCAAAACAATTTTTCCCGTTTCTCCTCCGGTGACGTTGGTGTAACACAAAATAAGTGATTTTTTTGACGACGCCATCACACATTTCACATAAAAAACTAGGTGCATATAAACGAAGCGATTGTTCTTAATGTTGGAAAGTATGCTTTAAGGCCATGAACGTATGATACGATTTCAATTATCTACCCTCTTTTCTGAATTGACACATGTATAACAGACAAGATCACAGTTATTATTGTTGGTTTTCGGCGTTTCGCAAAACAATATTCAAAATGTCGCTTAGAAACGCCGTTACTTTCATATTTCAATTTCAAAATAAACCCTTTCAAATGGAAGCATAGACATTCTAAACTTTCCAGTGTTGCCATCAACGTATATACAGTAGAATTCACAGTAGCCAAAGTCAGAGGGGTTAAAAACACATAAAAACATGACACATCATTCGTTTAAAAATTAACTCTATGATAAAAAAAATTAAATACCTATGAGATATAAAGTGATGACTGTAGCCTGTAGGCTTTGATAGATTTAAGTTGGATTTATACTATGGGGGACAGATTATAGAATATTTACAAAATGCTAACTCGCCCGCTCGGTGTCGCCAGTTTTTTTCAATACGATGAAATCGTGACATATCTTATTAATTTTACCAAATATTGTTAGCTCTACATACGTATTTAAAATCTAGTAAATGTTCGTAAATAAGACGTATCCTACGAGTTTTTTTGTTACTTTCCAAGCCGATCTACCATTCTATTTATCTCGCGATTGAAACTTTGGCTTCATAGAAAGATTTTTTAAAGTTTCTTAGTTAGATACCTTCGCAAAAGCCAAAAGATCAAACTAGAGCACATACTTTTGAAGTTACGCCAAAAAATATTGTGAACACTTTTTTCCCTATCATATTTCTAACTCTAAGCGTAAAGAGACTATTCAATGACAAGCCATAGACAATCCTATCCAATAACACTTCCAACAACACACCGACGACTAAAATATTTTAAAATACGAATTTCGAGTGATTATTTCATAATCATGCAATGCACGCTACCATAGATTCGGTTTTGTTTAATTCTCCTCGATCTTAAAGCACATTTTATGTCATTTGCCATGTCCGCTGCCTTTGTTTTTAATGAGCAGACACTAAATTAACATTCTAAAATTGGCAATTCGTGGTCCATAAAATATAATTCTGTATTTTACATAATCGTACAGGCAGCAAACACGGCGGCTTTAAAAATACAGTTTCTTTGTATATAACTGGCTGTTTTATTATCATTCGTTGCCAATTTGTCTATGGTCTATTTAGAATTACCGCAACAGACGTGAATAAAAAAACAATAGGTACCAGTCAAATTTTTAAATTTTGAACACCAACAATTCGAATGCAAACGGTGAATCTGTCATTTTAAATTCGAATCTCAATCAACCAATCAGAAAAATGTAACCATAGACAACGGACAATTATTCAAATAGGGCAGTGAGCGGGCGAGCGAGTTTAGTGTACTTGCGTTATAACTCCATGTCCTGAGCTTCGTCATCACTGAACGCGCTCATAGAGCTTTCGGTGTCGCTTGCGTTGTTATTCGCGGTGCCGTTGGAGGGCTTGGAACCGCTGGAGGCTGATGCGCCACCCATGCCTGTGATGGCGTCTTTTTCTAAAAGTGCCTCTTCAGTTGCGAATCTTCGGACGTAATCTGAAACATTTAATTGTTGATAAAATATAATGGTTCGAATCTTTGTGGCGGTACGTGTGACTAATTTTAATTACAATTTACGCGCATTTGTGAATGTTTATAGGAAGATCATTTACTCGCTGCAGACTCGGTCATAAATAATTAAAGCGGGACAGTGATATTGCGGTTTCTCTCTCGCCTACTTAGTGACGCGCCTGTTATCGATAAAAACAAATGAGTCACTAAGGGCGCGTAGCGGCAAGGGCAGTCCGTGCAGTACCTTATGAGTAATTTATTACCAAATTATTTAAACATAGCAACCATTTTATTATTACAACATTGTCCCTATCTACTGACCCGAGAAATAGGGTTTTCCGTAGAGATTACGGGCTCGACGGCAAGACCAGGGTACGGCGGGCGTCCGAGTCAAGTGATACGCCTTTGCGTCTCTGGCGGACCCGGACTTGGGTAAGGACTCGCTGGAGTATGTGGTTAGCTGCAGAGACGGACATGTTTGTTTGCCCCGGTTTTGCTTGTGCCGGTTTTGTCCGTCTCGTGAGCAGCTAGCGCGTCTTAGTAGCGGTCTAGTTGAGGGCCTGAAGTGAGTTGCCCTTTGAGTTGGAAGCTATGTCCGGACATTGTCGCAGGACACTGCAACTGGCATCTCCGGCACTAGCCCGAAGAGCTAGTAGAGGATAAGCTAGATATCCTCCGGTCCCTCCCGCCGCTTAGGTTATTGGGAACTGGAGAGACGTCGTTTTTCGGCGTCGGGAAGTGAGCGTGTCTTGCAGCTCCGCCACCAATGAGGATATTTGGTAGTGGCCTCAGAGTCGACGGCTTAGCGGTGGCAACCGCTAGTTGTGCAATGCGCAACGGGAAGTGAGGGTGCCTACAGCTCCGGTACCTATCTGGAAAATAGGGAGGGTACGGTACGTGCACCTGGGGCGGCTCACCCGAGGCACTAGCCTCTCGAAGAACCGGATGAAGTCAAGTGACAGAGGTCGGTGACAATCCTGTGCACTGGCTGATCTGGAGTCAGAACCTGAACTTGTTAGGTTCCTGTGCGCGCACAGGTTATAGTGTCCTTCTCGTATGCCGTATGCCCTAAGGGTAGGTAGAGAGGGTCACTATAATCAAAACTAACGTAGAAAGATATGGTGTTGTTTGAACATTGTTCTGGCACAATGGATAGTACCCGTCGGAATTAATATTACGGCTCAAACACGTGTTGTTATAAACAATGTGCTATAATTATACATTATCTTTTATTTCCAGTCCTACTTCACTATTACAACAAAATTTGAAATTATCGATAGCATTTATCGAGTGCAGTATGTCACGACCATACGCTTAAACAAAAGGTCAGTACCTGCTCGTACCCTACTAGTAAGTGATTGGCAGAGAGAGTGCAAGATCGCTGTCCCGCTCCGGTAATTTATGTCCTAATCTGCAGCGAGTAAATAATCTTTTATAGTAGCAATACCGCTCGCTAATAGTGAAGAAGTGACGGTTCACTTTGGAAAACGTGTGAACACCCAACCCTTCTCCTTTGACGCCCGTAGCTTGCAGTGGGACGTGTAAGGAAAATGATTGTGACAAACAAAACAAGAAGACGAAAAAGACCAGGTTTTCAGACTCACGTCTACGGACTCAACTGTTTGACCTTACCATTCTTGACATTTAAATAATAATAATAATAATAACGCTCACACTCAACATAGCCCCGCACTAGGGAAACCCTGTGTCGCGGGTGCCATGGACACACACATAGACAACCACAAATTACACCCAAACTCACGAGAGAAATAAATGTAGGCCATACAAACATTTCTCCCGGCCCCGGAATCGAACCTGGGACCTCTGTGTGGCAGTCCGGCATGGTAACCGTTCGGCCACGGAGGCAGTTAAATGTATATTAAATGTATGTAAAATGTACAGGTAGTCTGGTTCGTACATAGTTGCTCGCCTGACCAACTGCCATCGTCAACCCACTTTATGCGTCCCACTGCTGGGCACAGATCTCCCCTAATGCGAAGTACAGGCCATAGTCCGCAACTCTAGCCTAATATGGGTTGATGACTTCACACGTTTTCAGAAGATTGTGAACCCTCTGCGGTGTGCAAGTTTCATCACGACGTTATTCTTTACCAAAAAACTCATGGTAAATTTCAAATTAAATCAACTCCGAAAACTCAGAGGTGCGAGTCTGGATACGAACTCGCGGCCTCTGCTGGAGAGGCGGTAGGTACTGCCCACCGTACCTATTTCTGCCGCCAAGCAGTAATGTGAACACTACTGCGTTCCGGTTTCAAAGGGTTAACGATGCTGGTGAAATTATAGGCACATGGGACTTGTCAACTTATGTCGCAGGGTGTCGGGCGCTGTACCAATGATTTTTTTAATATCAACTGGGGGCCTACCACAACCTTTTAGAACAGTATTACTTTAACATTATATTGACTGTTAGTACCATAATGAGCTTAAAGTGTAATGCTAGTGTTCAAGGGGCACTGGGTCACCCAGTCGCTTAAAGATGATATGGACTTAGAGAGGGAACGTAGGGCGCTGGCTGTTAGAAGTAATATGTTGATCCGTATATTTGCAAGGTGTACAGTAAAAGTGAAAGTCACCTTATTTAAAACCTACTGCCAATCATTTTATGCCTGCATTTTGTGGACGGCATTTACTCAAAAGGCATACAGCGCCCTACGTGTCCAATATAATAATGCATTCAGGATGCTGTTGGGGCTGCCGCGCTACTGCAGCGCGTCAGCAGTGTTCGCAGAAGCCTTTACGGATAGCTTCCAATCCATTTTAAGAAAGCGACAAGCCTCCCTAATGCAGCGGGTGCGCGCCAGTACCAACAGCCTCCTTACTACAGTAGCAAATAGAGTTGATGGTCCTTTCAATGAACGTCTCAACTCGTTGCATGTAGTGCCCTCTAAGTGGGCTGTAAAATTAAAGTACTCGTAAATATGTACATAAGTAAATGTCATGTAATAAAGTAAACAATGTAAATTACTAACATAGTTTATAAATCTGTTACTAACTATATATGGATTCAGGTCCGAAATAAATGCTTATTATTATTATTATTATAAAGTAAGCTTATTATAATGCTAAAACTATGATCTTTTATTGGCAGCTTTGTGACTATTCATTCACTCAGTTCTTTTACTTAGAACTTTAACATTAAAGTAATATTGTTCTTATGTCAAATTTAGCAATCTTAAAATAATTACACGTATGCAATGGAAACAATATTATTACCGAATTTATTGCCTAAATGTTGATTTGTAAAACGACGTAATTTTAATAGATTTCTTTATTACATACTTTACATGTTTTGGCAGTTAAAATTCTCTGAATGTAAAAAATATTAAGTACTTTAACATTATACTACGATAGGATGATTCGGAACACCAAACAAGAAAGTGATGGCATTATATACTTCATATAGCGTTATTTATTTCCTATTCTTAGTAAGGAATAGACAATATTGAGAAATCATTCGTTCTTTCAGTCACTTTAGAAATAATACATTACTTGGTTGATTGGTTTGTCATGGTACGTACTTGAGTAATATTATAATAAGCTTAATATACTTGCATTGAAATAAGGTTGTTTTTTGAAAGGTTATGGTAGGCCCCCTGAACTAAATAGAACACGCATAGAATAACGTAATACATTTTTGAAATGGCTTTAACGTCGAGCACGGGAAAAATTTTAATTCAAGCTGAGGTAGAATAGACTCTCAAGTATCATGTGATATACGACAGTTACTGTAGGCACGATTGTAGTCTTTGTTTCCCTGTTAGATTCTCCCACCAGGAACTCACCTGAAACCTTCTTTTTGTACTCCTCAGGCTTGTGGAGGTACATGGCGGCCGCGTCGCCGTTGAGCGGGTCGATGGGATTCGGGTATGTCAGCAGCTGCGGCAGGAATGACTCGAAAATGTTCGACAGGTCTGGAACGAGAGAGACACCTTGAGCTGTTTCAAGTAATACGACGAAAGGGAAAATTCGTTGCTAACAGAGCTGTTGCTAACCTTAACATCAGCAGATGTTGATGTGGTTGCTGACTTTATACATACATACGTATCATCACGCCTGTCTCCCGCCGGGGCAGGCAGACCCTATGGATCTCCACTGATTTTATTATTTCATTTATTACTCCACAAAGTCTGCGGAAATTATGGAGTATGTTCACGATCACGCGACATGAATAGACAACCTGACCAGACATAAATTACCACGTGACTACTATACAGCAGTGCACTGACCGAATAGCAATGTGCAAGACCAGCCTGCTGAGTAGACGTTTCCTTTGTTTTATATTTAAAAATTATATTGTAGATATACACGCACACATGTAAATAGAATTTGAATAAATAGTCTAATTTTTAGAAATAAAGATCTCTTTGAATCCAGACATCAACGCTGTCTCATTGACGACGAGGGAACTCTCCTGACTACAGTATCCTCTCACTGCGGCCAAGAGACCTTTAGCCGTCAGCTTATCTGATCAATCTTGTGAGTCTGTGCGACTGGCAATGAGAAAATCCACTGCTTGCACCCCTTACCCTTCCCACCTTCCGTCTCTTCTTAGGTCGCACGGTAACAGGCTTCGTCTACCTATCTATATAGGTATATATAGTAGCGCATGGTTAGGGCTAGGCTAGACGGTTACCGGACACCCTCGTTGCGTCACACGTCGCGGTCCATACGTGTAAATAAATAAATAGTGTCAGTGTTTTATTATATTATTATGTATGTTAGTCTACAAGGTGTGTATTTATGGGTTTTTGCAACCTGAATATATAAATATAAATAAATAAATAAAAAATATTTATCTATAGAGTTCTTAGGTTTTCGCGATTGTTACACATTGGAAATGAAACTATTTTTTCCGGATTTAAATCGCGTATATTTGTTTTTTCAAACAAACCAACGTTTCGGGCCTTTTACAGGTGCCATGGTCACGGTTGACTGAGGTGGTACAGTCGACCAGTTATGTCTAATATATTTTTGACCAGTTATGGCAAACCACCCTGTTTTTTCACAATAATTACAAAAGTTATTAATAAAACACCTTATTTTTAATTTTACAAAGAAACATTTCAATTTACGCTACATTATGTTTTATAAATGATTTTATTTTAACAATATTAATTTTTATTAAGTTAAATGTATTATTAATTAATAATGGAATTTAGAATACAACGCCACGTGCATTGTACGAATGTGCCGGGTGTGTGTTAGAAGAGCTAGCTGTTTAATAAAGTTAAAAAACCTAAGTTTAAAGTTTAAGCCTCGAAGGTTAAAATTGCAAGCTTACCATAGAGAGCAGTCCAAGCCTGGTTAATAACATCTAGACAGACAGTGCCGGAGACCTCGTCGATGTTGGGGTGGTACACCTTGTTCATGAATCCGATGGAAGGCGACTTGAATGGGTAGTGGTCGGGCAGGTGGACGCGCACGCGCCACACTCCTCCCTCGTATGGTGCTTGAAGGAAAACACACTTCATTTAAAGCCAGAGAATTGCAACGGGTAATGAGTGTGTAATGTATCATATAAATATTTTTAACCTAAGGCCACAGCCGCACTTCTAAGGCCACTGCGACGCGACGGCGATTTCGTGAAAACAAACTCATATAAACATATGTCGGTGGCCGCACTGCAGAAACGACAAGCGAAATTTTTTTGTTCTCATATATAGTTCACAATATATATACACATATATAAAATATAATATGTATATATATACATCTATATATATCTTATATATAAAAAGAAATTGCAAATGTTCTATAGGCATCGAGTATATAACCAGAAATAGAGACGAAATGTCATTTAATTTGTTTCTGCCATATCATTACTGTGACAACTGCGCTCCGATTGGCTAGCCCAAGTTCGAAACAATTGACGGGTGTCGTCAACTGTTTCACTTCAAATCGACCAATTAACTTGAGCTTCGCTACAATGGACGAAAATTGCAGAATTATATATTTAATATTTAATTACCAATGAAATGTGATTATGTTTGTTTTGTAATTAGATGTTTTGCTGTTTTTCCCACATCACCGATTAGAACAGCACGGCATTGTCAGAGATATTATCTTTATTACAATAAATACATAATATTTTTTGGAATATACGGAGACGTACACACAGGTCAGTAGTTGGCCTGTCTATATTTCGGAGCAAACATGAGTTGATATTTATAACAGCTGTATCGCTAATGTGTTACCAAGAATATATGGCCCTTATTTCGTTTTTATTCCTGGTTATATACTCGATGTCTACAAGTAATGAGGGTGTCCGCATTGAACAAAATTATTCAGCGACACGCGACATTTGAATTTCATACGACAAGCAGCGGTACGACATGGCGATTTGTCACGATTTGCGACAAAATATGCGGTGATATATCTGAGCGGCCGCACTACCTAGCGGCGTTCGTGCGAAAGTGCGCGATTATTTTATAAACAGTTTGATTTTGACGTTCAACTATACAAGCGCGGCGTCAGTGCGACCGCCTGATCGCCACCCATTAAGCGATGTAGCGGCTATTTTTTCGCGTCGCTATCGCCGTACCTGTCACTGGAGGAGAAGTGGGAAGAACTGTTTTGCAAGACCGAATGGTTTAAGTATTTACTATTAAATAACGATCTTACAAAAAATACACGATACACCAAAGGATATTGTCTAAAGAAAGTGCCAATATGTTACACAATAGGATGTACTTTACTCGATCGTATAAAATCATGGAAACAGGCTAAAAAAAAACTATAAAGCGAATTATTTAAGAATAAAATATGTAACGTTGTACATAATTTTTATATGGAGATATATCACTACAGAGAACCTGCTGCTAAATTTTGGTTGCGGATTAACGACACCACTATTGCCAGATTAGGCGGTTTTTCGCCAGTTAGGCTACTTTGGGGAATTACAAATTTTATTGGGTATTTTGTGTGGAATAGAGTTGTAACATAACTCATTTGGGGGTTTGAGTATTTCTTACGTGTGGGGAATTGGGGAAATAAGAGAGTTCATATTCCCCAAAGTCCGGCAGCAAGCAAAATTCTTAATTATTAGGGATTTTATGGCTTGGGCGAATATCGGCTACAGTCAGCTGTCAGTCGCCATGATCGTCGGATCGGATCAATGTCAAATTCTCTCCGAGTGTTATTTAAATTTGAAGAAAATGTCCCAACTCTAAATAAATCGTGTTTATTGGATTTCAACCACTTTTCAATAAAATTTGACAAATAGATTCCACAAACATTTGAAGTAGGTTTTTTTTTATGAAAAAAAAAAGAAGGTATAATTATTATAAACGTCAGTTTACACAACTAATTTAAAATTTGACGTAAACATATTCGGAAATACAAACAAATTCGGTTTTGACTTCTAACCTACAAAAGGAGGGGCGTACATTACAGGTACAGGTAGATAAATATCTCGTAAAAATTATCTGAATTAACAACACACATCAAAAGTGTCTAGGGATCAATTTAAAATATTTGATTATCCTATCAAAATTAAATAAAATCTATGTATATAAATTCATTAATTAAATTATTAAACAGACCGAAAAAAACCAATGGTGTTATAAAAACATTAATTAAAAAACCTAATTTTCATTAATTGGCTAAAACGTGCTTGAACCCTAGACACTTTTGACGAGTGTATAAAATTATTGTTATATAAAAAGAGCTTCATATAAAATTTTTAATTAAGCTATATGAAGTGTATATAATTGAGCGTTATATCTTTCAAACATTAATATATATTTGATTTTCACACAAACGAGGCGCACCCGAAGGTTCCATAGGAGCAGCGTAAACGTTGCGGTATAGCGTCAGAACCATGCTCTATGGATATTTAGGAAACCATTAATAAGAGACCAGCGTCAGTAGCATGCAGTTAATGTAAACGCTCGTCTCGTTTGAGAAATTCAAAATTAAGAGTGGTTACACACGGCGACTTACAGCAGCGATGCAATCGCGCGTTTGTAGCTATACAGTCGCGCGCTTGCATCGCTGTTTAAAAACGCGCATGTGTAAGCGCTCTAAGTGCTCGTGTACACGATGCCGCCACTGCGCCATCACCGCGCCGTCACCGCGCCATCACCGCGGCCCCATTCGCCAATATTTAACAACAACAACAACAAACGCACACACTCAACATAGTCCCGCACTACGGAAACCCTGTGTCGCGGGTGCCATGGACACACATAGACAACCACAAATTACACCCAAACTCACGAGAGAAATAAATGTAGGTCATACAAATATTTCTCCCGGCCCGGGAATCGAACCTGAAACCTCTGCGTGGCATTCCGGCATGGTAACCGTTCGGCCACGGAGGCAGTTAAGTAAGCAGTAAGTTAAGTGTTTGGTTTTGTTTATTCTAATCTAATCTATCATGGAAAATTTTGATTACGAAACGTTAATAACTTTGGTGGAGGACAGAGAAGTGTAATGGGATAAAATCAAGCGGCGGTGGCGCGGTGGAGGCGCGAAGGCGAACGTATACACAGCATAGAGGCGCGGTGCACGTATGTATCGCGCATTTTGATAAAAGATACTTTTAATTTTAGTTCTGTTTGTTAATTACAGTTATTTTTTTAAATGAAGCAACGACATGAAATTCTATATAAACTTCTTGCCTGCAAGTTTGCGCGTTTGAATCGATTCACTAATGCGCGTCTGCGGCGCGAACAAGCGCGTTTACGGCGCGTATAAAATACGCCGTGTGCAAAGACTCTAATGTACATATTTTCTATTATTTTAAACCAGCTTGTTTTTTTTATAGGATATTGTGTTTTGTGTCGATGTTTAAATGTTTTTTCTCTTGCATAGGACCGTACATACACATACAAACTATATTATTTGTAGCTAGGTAAAAACATTTAGATTTCTAATAAAAAAAAACACTTACTGCCTGGCGGGCCGAAGAATTTGACACAGAATTCGTTGAGCCCGCCCAGAATTGTCACCTCGTGCTTGCTTTCGATACTGAGATATGCTATTTAAGGAAATTACATTCGGTATACAATTATTTAAAAACATTACCAAAAAAAAAATTATGAAATTGTATAATAGTACCTATGCCTTTAATTCCTCCGTAACGTGTGTGCGTGTGACTAAGAAATACAACATTAAAACCTCTCTACAATCACAACTTACTCCAACAGCTGTAATTATATTAACACTCGCTCATGCACTTATATATAAAATAGGTTATTTTAGATGCACTATTTACACTTTACTATGAATATTATTATTCTCAATGTATAATTTTACACACAGTCGTTATATTTTTGCTTTCAAATAACTTAATCCCTCTCGATTGAAAACCTGCACTTCAGGAAACTTTGGCATATGCTGAGTCAGTGCCGTTACACTGCTATGACAATCATGTTATGTTTTTTCTTTCATGCTTTGTAAAGGAATAAACCTTCTTCTTGTCCTTTGCGATATGGAGTACTGCTCTAGGCAAACGCTGCTGCTCCACATATTTTGCCATTATTTAAAACCCAAACGAAATGTGTCAGGGCCATGTTTGGTGTGGGTCTGCAGCAGAGTTGCGTGCCTTACTTCAGGAAACTGCAGATACTAACCCTACTGTCGATGTAGATGAGGCCCATGATTTGGTAAATAAAATCTAGGCAATTTATCATGGACTCAGAAAGGCACCAATAAGTTCTCGCAACTAGTTGGATAGAACCGTAAACTTTTCCAGATCGTCAAACTGAGAAAAGTTGCATATCTGGGTCATGTACTTAGGCATGACAGATACGAGCTTCTGCAACTGATAATAATGGGAAAAGAAAAGCTGGTCGTAGGAAAAATCGTGGCTGAGGAACATACGAGATTGCACTGGTATAGCGAATGCCGCCCAACTGTTCAGCCTCGCCAGGAATAAAGATAAATATGCTGAGCTGACTATCAACCTTCACTAGTTGGAGAGGCACCATAAGAAGAAGAAGTAGGCAACTTTAATTTAGTCAAATCTAGATATCTTAGAAATACAAGGGAATGAAATAGAAGAAATACAAACGACGCCCTATTTGGAATTTTACAGCTCTGTAATCCTTTACAACTAATACAAATTCTAACAGTAAAATTCCATTTTCTTTTCTCAAAGTCAGATCATCTTATTTCACAGGTAAGGAAATTACACTCGAAATCGTCATATTGATAAAACTCTGACGCTCATTCGTAAGGTTGATTCCCCTGAGAAGAATGAGCAAGAAACTCTAGGAGTTACTCCATTGACTTACAAATAAATGGACGACGGGTCTAATACAAAAACCACGAAAAAAATGTCCCAAGTCAACCTATTTAAACGTAGTAACATGTAAAGGAATATGAAAAAGCTAAAACGTTGAATTGAAATTGTAACGTCATCGCAGTACCTACTGTCTAATTTTGCTTGCTTCGCTGTCAGTCGAACAAACGAAGACTAAAGCGTGAATGACGCTCTGTTTACGATTTTAACGCCCTATAAGTTCGGACACTTTTTAGCGCGGACCCGACGTCCATATAATTCCCATCGGACCCTCAGACGAACGACGAGATATCATCCTTACTTGGTCAATATTCCCTTCAGGCGTACTAAGCGGCGTACAACCCGAGTATCTTAAAGGTACGACTGAATAGGCATCTTCTGGGCGAGTTCGAGTTTATTAAAAAAAAAGTGTTCATTAAATGAAACACACTAGACTAGAGAATAGAAACAAATAATACACAGCTCACCGCATTATTATTCGCTACACAATGTAAGATATCATAAGATTAACATATGAATGGGTAAGTTGCTATGTGCAAGGTTATTCCGGTGTCAACTGTGTAAACACACCATCACTCTCTTGACCGAATGTCGTTAACTAACTTGAGATAATGTAGTATTTCTGTCGCCAAGCAGTAATATGAGCATTAATGCATTCCAGTTCTGAAGGATAAGGGTGCTAGTGAAATTACAGGCACATGGGACTTGGCAACTTATGTCTCAATCAACTTATGTCGGGCGCAGAGCTTCTCAGATCTTTACTATGAACAAGCGTGTCTCTTTATATGTTTATTTATCATTCAATATTGCAAGTGGGCTCATTGAGCTTATCCAAAACACCCACAAGCTTAGATTTACAAAGATACAAGACTAAATAGAATTGAAATAAACGGTCAAGTATATTATCGTCACACCCCGGACACTCCATACAACGGTCGAAAGTTATTTACCTACTACTACTACATACAGCAAGGTGCTATCTGCACACGCGCAAATGTGTGCGTGAAATGGCAAGGTTACCCATCACTTACGTGGTTATAGCGGCAACGTAGCAAAAAATTCTTAAGCTAATCTGTTATCTTTAATTCTATTAATAGAATCCTAATAATTACACATGTTCATTAGGTATTTATATCGACGTAATATTATATTTTTGATTAATTCACTAACTAGAATAATATTGAAGATTTATTTTAAAAATATATTAAAAGCACTAAAAAGATTGTATTTTGGACAGGTTTTATATAAGGTAACCAAGGTATTTGAAATTGCGTGTCCAAGTTTATCATCACCTTGTTAATAATTAGGTATATTCACTATGTAATGTTTATCGGCGATACAAATTCAAAATTCGAGAACCTTCGTCTACAAGCTCAGGAAGTTATGGCGTCTCATTATATTGATATAACAAATCTGTATTATATATTACTCTGCATTAAATAAATGAAGAAAACAATAACTGAATGAGTCTCAGATATAAGTTCTTGTCATCTTCGTTTCATCTTTCGGAAAACGAACTAAACTCCTCTTTTTGTCCCGTTTAGATTCACGATTCACGACCATTATAAATAGTAACGAACAATGATGTTATATATTAACGTACAAGGTTCGTAATGAAAAAATGAAAACTATATTTAAATATCAAAGCCGTCCGTTAGGGGGAGGGTTAAGGGGTCGGTTAGGGGGTCGGTCAGGGGGTCGGTCAGGGGGTCGGTCAGGGGGTCGGTTAGGGGGTCGTGAGGGGGTTGGTCAGGGAGTCGGTCATAGGGTCGGTCAGGGGGTCGGTTAGGGGATCGGTTAGGGGCGGGTTGGGGTTCGGTTAGGGGGTGGGTTAAGTGAGTTTGTGGGTGGGGTAGGGGTCGGGGTAGGGGGGGGGCAAGGGGGTGGGTCAGGGGATGGGTCAGGGGGTGGGTTAGGTGGGTTAGGGGGTAATTAATTAATTGTTAATTGCGGTTCTCGCAACTAACAATCGATCAATCTTTAATTGCTGTTTCGCAATTGACAATTAATTAATTGTCAATCTTTAATTGCCAGAACAATTACATTTTGCCTAACACTGGCTATAATACAATTTTACTTTACTAATGTGAAAACTTCAACCTACGTAAGTACTCAATAACTAATTTCCTACACGTAAAAGGTAATAATTCAAAAACAAGTTCGCCTTCTTAAAAAGTTGTCCAAAGCAATCGGCAAATGAGTCAATGTCATAGCAGTCAGCGAGCACATCTTCGACGAGCGCGAATGCCCGCGTGGATTGTGTGTTAACCAACAGTTTACCTTTACCGTTGTAAAAATTAACGGTGAGGTCGACGTTAGAGGGCTTTACACAGACACTCTTTCGCGCGTGATTCAGCAATCGTGCGCGATTGAGCGCGCGTGTAAAGATGTTCAAAGAAAAGGGAAAGACTGCGCAATTGCACTCATCAGTAGCGCGCGCAATCGTGCGTTCCAGGTTTGCCTTTTACATGGACGCTCCTCCGTTGTAATAAAAACAACAACCGCGCGCGAAAGAAGCTTGAAAAACTTCAAACAGGTAATCACGTACGCCTCTGATCACGCGCGAAAGAATGAATGTGTAAAGGGGGCTAATAGACCAGGCACACCTAAATAATGCATATCTAAATTAACCTAATAAAAAAAATACCTTTTGAAAATTTTGTGAATATTCGTGAAAACATTTTGACTAAAACACAAAACAATTTTTGTACCGATATATGACTTTTGTTCTGTCTTACTTTACGTCCTTTTCCCACAGAGGTAAGCAGAGACTACAGCCTTCCACGTGCTACGATCCTGACACACATCTTACGCTTCATCTACACGCATCAGTGCTTTCATACAAGCTTTCTTTAGGACGTTCTCAATTTGGTCGCGGTAAGTTTGCCTTGAGTTACGCCTTCAATTTGGTCGCGGTAAGTTCGCCGTGCGTATTCAACCTACCAACAAACGTTAAAGGACTGGCCCACATCACAAAAAGGAAGTAAATATGTATATCATAGCAACGCGATAAAGAACTTAAACATATAACAACACGATAACACGATAAACATATTCAGGTCAACTGTTTTTACACCAAAAAAAACACGTGAGAAATTATTTATAAAACCAAAACCGTATCGTCATCGTCTACGCATTATACGTCACACTAGACACGGGTTTTCTCTGAAGTGGAGCTCCTTGTGTAAAAGTTCGTGCAGGGAAATACTGGCACTTTAACTACCGCCAAGCGGTAATGCGAGCATTAATGCGTTCCGGTTTTAAAGGGTAGTGGTGGTTAAATTACAGGCACATAGGACTTTTCAACTTCTGTCTCAAGGTGACGAGCGCAGTGGCAGTGCCCCTCAGATCATAGCGATTTAAAGCTGTGAGTGGCATTGCAACTGTTACGGACAGGCATGTCGCTTATCACCACGACTTGTTCGTCTTGTCACTCACATACGATACCATATGCGGGTGGGACAGTCCCATCTTTCCACAATAACATTCAGGATCGTATTTGAGCTGGCGTGCACTCCCAGGGTGGCTGACAATTACTTTCTAAAGAAGACCCGCGCTTAGTAGTGTGATGTATAATGGTTTAATTGACGGCGATAAACTACCTAACAGGAAACTTTGGATTTTGCACTTCCATACACGTACCAATTTTGTAATATTTTTTTATGTAACAAACGATATTAACAAACATGTCTATTGTTTAAGCGGTGAGTAATTTTTGTCGTAA